CAAATCTGCAAGTTTACTCTGCAATCAAGTGTGACCAGAACCTTCTTCACGAGACTGGGAGCTGATGATGAATTGGCGTGTCTCACGGAAGCAACACGCACGCACAATTACGCCAGGAACAAAGAATTCGGCATTAATGAAACACGCTAACGAAAAACTATTTGCAATAGTTAAGTACCTAACTACAACACCTGATATCGCTCTCAGCTATCCTTTGAAAACGCTTAAAAATCTTAAATATAACGTCCAGTAATCAAAATTGGAAACAATAACTTAAAATAAACACACAAACGGATTTTTTTTAAAAAAACTGCCCCGTACAAACAATTTAATCGATTCTTCTTTCCTGCCATAAAATAAAAAGTTGTCAGTGGAACGACGGTTCCGGAGAATTTGACGCAAATACGTCTGTACGCAAAGGAAGTTTATATATTGGCTTTATTCTAAATATTTCCTTTATACATGCTTTACAATTGAGTAAAGTTTGATTAAGACTTTGCTTATTTAACCTGAATTAGTTACGCTTAAAATGTGTCTGGGGTAGCTGAATGTAATGTAAAGTAATGTAATGTAATGTAATGAAATGTATTTTTTTTATTTATTTTTTTGTTCTGTCTGACGACAGGTCCATATGAACTGGATCCTTTCTTTCTTTTCTCGGACTGGGACCTGTTCATATACGTTCTTGGCAGATGATCCAGAAGTGGTTTGCCATTGCCTTCTTCTGTGTGTGAATGGAGTAATTTTTGGGATGCCACGGAGAAACCGGGGAAGCCCCCGGAGGTCTGATGACAGGTCCATATGAACAGGATCCTTCCATCTTTTTCTCGGACTGGGACCTGTTCATATCCGTTCTTGGCAGATGATCCAGAAGTGGTTTGGCATTGCCTTCTTCTGTGTGTGAATGGAGTAATTGTTGGGATGCCACGGAGGAAAACTCCGTGTTGCCTAGACCACGGCCTTGCCCAACACAAGTTATAAATTCGGGCACCGACGGGAATCTAACCCGAGACCCCAGGATTACAAGGCCAGGTAATGTAATGAAATGTAACGTTTCCTAGGTAACCAGGTTACACTTTTTCGTTCCACTTTTTCGCCGAATGAGCCTTCCTTATAGACGTATTTACGTCAAAAATAAATATTAATTCTCGAACGAAGGTCGTAATGAACAAACGAGAGAAGAAATCTCAGAAAGGTTCGTGGGTGCGTATGAGAATTTTACATAATCAAAATAAATGACGTTTTCTAAGAAACCTATTATTTCTCGGGTATAACTCCGAGACACAGCGCGCCAGAACAATGATTTCGAGAATATCTTGATGTTCGTCTCCGTTAGTGCCTTTCACGTCCGAAAGTGCTGTGGATATTTCTATCGTATTTTGAATGGCAGGTTTAACCAGAATCTGTCGGACCAATTTCATCTTCATCCGCGTCGGTCCTACTTCAAACGAAAATTCATAATTACTACAAGCAATAAAAGACGGCCGACGAGAATGCACACATATCGCCTCGTTTGACAAGGGACAACCCAATCCGGTGGGCCTCAAACTCCGCGCGAAACCTGAAAATGAGCTGATCCCCTTCCAAGCATCTGTTGTCTGTGGGTGGGTCCAAGATCTCAAGACGAAACAGACAATGCCACTCTCGAAGGAACAGCCGAAGCTGCCGAGTTATTTCAAAAGCAAACAGTTGCAACACGCCTGAATCACTCCTTCG